ATGAGGAATATTCCCTCTATCCCTATACTCTGAAGAGTTTTAATCAGGAAAGCATGTTGTATTTTGTCAAATGCTTTTTCTACATCAATTGAGAAGACCATATGGTTCTTCTCTCTCCTCTTACTAATGTGTTCTATCACACTGATTGATTTGCAAATGTTGAACCGCCCTTGCATCCTGGGGATAAATCCCATTTGGTCGTGGTGGATGATCCTTTTAATGTATTGTTGGATCCTATTAGCTAGGATTTTGTTGAGAATTTTGGAATCCATTTTCATCAGGGATATTGGTCTGAAATTCTCCTTTTTGATGGGGTCTTTGCCTGGTTTGGGGATTAAGGTAATGCTGGCCTCATAGAATGAGTCTGGAAGCTTTCCTTCTGTTTCCATGTTTTGAAACAGCTTCAGGAAAATAGATATTATTTCTTCTTTGAATGTTTGGTAGAATTCCCCAAGGAATCCATCAGGCCCTGGACTCTTGTTTTTTGGGAGGTTTTTAATCACTGCTTCAATCTCGTTATTGGTTATTGGCCTATTCAAGTTGTCAGTTTCTTTCTGTTTCAGTCTTGGTAGTTTATAGGTTTCCAGGAAGGCATCCATTTCTTCCAGGTTGCTCAGTTTATTGGCATATAGTTGTTGATAATAATTTCTAATAATTATTTCTATTTCCTTGGTGTTAGTCGTGATCTCTCCCCTTTCATTCATAATTTTATTAATTTGGGTCCTTTCTCTTTTCTTTTGGATAAATCTGGCCAGTGGTTTATCGATCTTATTAATTCTTTCAAAGAACCAGCTTCTAGTTTCGTTGATCTGATCTACTGCGTTTCTGGTTTCTAGTTCATTGATCTCTGCTCTAACCTTAATTATTTCTCTTCTAATGCGTGGCTTAGGCATCGTTCGTTGCTTTTTCTCTAGTTCTTCAAGGTGTAAAGTTAGTTGGTGAATTTGGGATTTTTCTATTATTTTGAGTGTGGTTTGAATGGCTATGTATTTCCCCCTTAGGACTGCCTTTGCAGTATCCCATAGATTTTGGATCAATGTGTTTTAATTCTCATTGGTTTCTATGAATTGTTTAAGTTTTTCTTTGATTTCCTGGTTGACCCAAACATTCTTGAGCAGAGTGGTCTTTAGCTTCCAAGTGTTTGAATTTCTTCCAAAGTTTTTCTTGTGACTGAGTTCCAGTTTTAAAGCATTATGGTCTGAGAATATACAGGGAATAATCTCAATCTTTTGGTATCGGTTGAGACCTGATTTGTGACCCAGTATGTGCTCTATTCTGGAGAATGTTCCATGTGCGCCCGAGAAGAATGAGTATTCTGTTGTTTTAGGGTGGAATGTTCTGTATATGTCTCTGAGGTCCATCTGGTCCAGTGTGTTATTCAAAGCTCTTGTTTCTTTGTTGATTTTCTGCTTAGATGATCTGTTTATTGCTGAGAGTGGAGTATTGAGGTCTCCTACAATTAATGTATTGTTATCAAGGCCTTCCTTGTTTTTGTCTGGATTAGAGAAGCTGCTGCTTTCTCCCTCCATCCTTCTAATTGAATATTTCCTAGGTTTCATCTTCCCTTTAAATAACTCCCTTAGGGCACTCCGATGATTAGTTAAATTTCAGATATTCTTTGTGCACGTGTCTTGTAGAATTGTGGACTCTCCCAAGCTGGAAGAGATCTCCAAGTCGTCCGTCCAAATATCTCTCATGTCTATGTGGTCAAATTGATCATTCATGTCAAGTAAAGATGGGTTTTCTTGCATTTTCATTGATGCCTGAGGATGCAAGAGAACCCAAAACTGGTGAATTGTCTCTCTAGACTCTTCCATAACCCAGTTTCTCTTTAGTAAAAAACATCTCTGGCCTTACGACTTTCATCCACTCCAGCTGGCACTGCCCCGAGGCCCATTTTGATTGATGCTTTCACATCCGCACCTTTGTCCCTTCTTCTATTAGTCCGCCTCCTTTACAGCATGTCTGAAATCCACCCTCTCTTGCAACTTTCTTCTCTTCCTTCTGTAACAACTACTTTCTAAACTCAAGCCTTTCCTCAGCCCATCTGCTTGAATTCCCTGCATCATCTCTCTTAGAGTTGGTTTGATCTTGGTAGTCACTTTCTCAGAAATTTGCAGTAGTGCCCAGCTATCTTACAAATTAAATAAAAATGTTAATGTCTTCAGGTAGAGAACCCAGCCTGTCTGACCACATTGATTTTCCCATTTGATTCTTAGGCTCTTCAACATTCTCACTACTTAATTTTTAGAGAATTCTTTTGACAGTTATGTAGCTCTTCTTTGAAATGATAATTGTTATTTCTCTGTAGTTCTTTTAGTTTTAAGGGCTGATGACAACACCAGCAGCAGCAGCAGTAAAACTAGCTGGCTCAGTGCCTTGCCCATAGTAGATAACTATCTGGGACCTGAACAACTGAGCAAATAAATGGAAGCACAGGAAATCACTGTAGACACCCTGATTTGCCCAGAAACCAGAAGTGTAGGACTCAGATTCTTGAAAAGAGAATTCTTGCTTCCTTGGTAGCTTCCTATAGTGGTCAAGAAGAATGAGCCTAACTAAATATGGACTAAGAATGGCCTAAAATATTCCAAAATAATCTGTAATACTTTCAGGTTCTTGACTCAAATTCAGTATTTCTGTGACTTTATGTATGTTAATCTTCCTGTTTAGGAAGTTCTGCTATGAACAGTTCCAGTATCATTTTCTTTGGTGTGTTTTACCAGTTGGCTCTTAATATTTTATTTTATTTATTTTATTTATTTTTATTTTTTGTGATGTTAAAGGATGATTTTTATTTTTATTTTTATTTACAGTTAATATTTTTTTATTATGTTCAGTTAGCCAACATCATTAGTTTTTGATGTAGTGTTCAGCGATTCATTAGTTATGTATAACACCCAGTGCTCAGCACCACATGTGCCCTCCTTAATGCCCATCACCTGGGTACCCCATCCCCCACCCCCCTCCCTTCTGTAACCCTCAGTTTGTTTCCCGGAGTCCAGAGTCTACCATGGTTTGTCTCCTGCTCTGATTTCTTCCCATTCAGTTTTCCTTCCATTCCCCTGTGGTCCTCCACGCTATTACTTATGTTTCACATATGAGTGAAACCGTATGATAATTGTCTTGGCTCTCAATATTTTAAACTGAACTGAAGGGTGAGAAAACTTACCTATCAGATTCTTAATTAAACGATTCACTAAGACCTCTTTCAATGGTTCCCTTAAAATATACCTTTATGTAAAGAGAGGGCTCCACGTAGGAAGTCATCTCTCCTACATTGTTTCCTACATATTTTTCTATATCCTTGGTCATTCTTTTCCTGAGCCCTAGGGTCTCTGGAGAAAAGAGCAAGCTCTTGTCATAGTCCTCACCCAACTGAATGTGATTTATTCCTCATAGTTTTACAGGCTATGTTCAGACAACCATGGGTTGTTGAGAGGAACCAGCCCTGTTCCCCCGCAGAGAGGAAAGACTGGCAACACATGGTTTTCATACAGTGCCAGCGAGTGCTGGTGCCATCAGGGGTCCCAGAGAGAGGATCAGAAAAGCACTCATGGAGAAAGTGCTTTGGGGAATGTGCCTTTGAAGGATAAATGTGTCTTCAATCAGTAAAGACATGGGGAAGGGCATTCCAGGCCGGGAGACTGTCACTGAGCAAGGGCAATGGGAGGCAATGAAGAGTGTGTGTTTGGGTAATGGCAAGTACTTCCTGGCATTCAGAAGATGTGAGCAGTGGTGTGGCTCATGATCCCTTCAGTGCATGCTTCTTGTGCTTCTACTCTGTGCCAGGTGCTATGGACAGTGGAGGCAGGGGACCAGCAAGGGCTGGAATAGTGATCAGGCACCCTAGAAAGTGGCAAGTGCCCTGAGACAGTGGTAGACAGTGAACTCCTTGGAGCTCATGGAGGAGGAATATGAGGAGAGCATGCACAAGAGAGCCTTCTACACAATTCTGGAAAAACTTGAGAAAAATGATATTTTTTTGGATCCAAACTCATATATCCAGATCCTTCAGGCCTCATAAAGGCTGTGGGGTATGTTTGCCAAACATCAGAAATGGATTTTTATTTTGGGACCATGCTTTTAGGTTGTGCAGAATTGGTACCACTCAGATGGTACAAGGATCATGTGTCCCTCAGAAAAGGTGGGAATACTGCTGCCTGACATGAAGCAAGTCCATAGCACCTGTTAGAAGAAATTCATGAACATCAACACTTCTGTATCTAGGATTACACGTAAAAGTTTTTCTTAATTGTACATAAAGGAGAGTTTGTATAGAGGCAAATCTTAATGCCAGCTTTAGGGGTCATATCAAGGTCACTGGACAAGATGGCATTGGAAAGCTCAGTACCTTTGGTGAAGCAGGATTGAAGGGGGCTGGAATTAGGAGGAGACTAAGGAAATTTGTCTTCATGCAGAATTAGAAGCAGTTGAAGAACCTTCTCGAGTGAGAAGCAATCCTAGTTTCTCCACCCCAGAACGTTGCTATGAGAATCATAGCACTGTATGGAATAGTCAGTTCTAACCTGGAAAATCTGGGTAGTTGAAAAGGGTTCTCATCTTTATTTTAAATGTGCTGCTATATGATAATTGACTTCCCTTGTGTTGCTAGAAGGGCTATTTTTGATCTAGAAACATTTCTTTCTTTGAAGGTCATCTGGATAGACTATCTGCTGTCCCCAGACAAAACATTCTTTAGTTTCTTCATCTCTTGTTCTTGGGTAAGAAAACAGTTTTTATCTTTCAGACTTTTCTCGTATACTTATCTTTTATATTTTACTGAGCACTTATAATCCAATGCAAGTAAGAGTCCTCTGTGCTTCAAAACTGATCAACAAGTCGTAAGTGATTGGGGAAAATCTAAGTAATGAGTTGCATTTTAAATAATAGTAACACCTGACTTAATCAATAATTCATACTATCAAGACATGCTCAGTCAGGTTTAAAGCACAGGTCAAGATGTAACGTCAAGTAATCACAGACAATTCTTTTTATGTTTTCATATGGAACGCTTCACAGATTTGCATGTCATCCTGTGCAGAGGCCATGCTAATCTCTGTAATTGTTCCAGTTTTAGCATATGTGTTGCTGAAGCAAGCGCCACAATCGATTCTTAACACCAGTGATCTGAATGCATGTGAAATTGTATAGCACACATAAAAATATCTGTTTATATATGTCCTTGATTTTCACCAGCTACAGATTTAAATTCAAGTAATATTTCATCTCAAGAGATTATGGGGCACCTGGGTGGCTCAGTCGGTTAAGCACCTGCCTTCGGCTCGGGTCATGATCCCAGGGTCCTGGGATTGAGCCCCACATCGGGCTCTCTGCTCAGCGGGGAGCCTGCTTTTCTCTCTCCCTCTGCTGTTTCCCCTGCTTGTGCTCTGTCTCTCTCTGTCAAATATTAAGTTAAATCTTTTAAATAAGAAAAGAAAAAGAGGTTCTACTTGGTTACTCTAAGTGTAGCATTCTGGGGTGCCTGGGTGGCTCAGTCAGTTAAGCGGCTGCCTTTGGCTCAGGTCGTGATCCCAGGGTCCTGGGATCGAGCCCCACATCGGGCTCCCTGCTCGGCTGGAAGCCTGCTTCTCTCTCTCCCACTCCCCCTGCTTGTGTTTCCTCTCTCGCTGTGTCTCTTTCTGTCAAATAAATAAATAAAATAATAAAAAAATAAATGTAACATTCTTCCCATTTCCTGAGAGAATTATAAAGTGAAGAAAAGAAAAGATGTTTTTGGTTTTGATAAATTGTGGATTTTAGATTGAGGTGTGTGTGTGTGTGTGTGTGTGTGTGTGTGTGTGTGTGTGTGTGCAAACTCAGTTGGAGAACAAATGCAAACAGAACTGAACTTGAATGTTGATTTTTTGCATCTAATTTTATATTTATATAGGCATGTATATGATCATATTCTCTTATGAATGAAAACGCAATCTACATATTTCCCTTGAACTGTGATGTATAAAATAAAATGTAACATATATTTATTGCAAGAAATGTAATTTGATGTTTAGGTTCTCTGGGAACTTTGGTATTTCTGTACTGAAAAAATGAACAGATATGGAAAGTCTGTTTATAAATCTTAAGATGTAACCATTATACTCATTCTCACCCATTTCTTGCAAAAGGGACATTTTCCCAGGAATGCAGCTGGTCATTTCCACAAATATATTTTCAAAAGATTGCATTGAACTTACATGTCTCTCATGCCAGATTGCTCATTTTATAAAAATATCTCAATAGAAACACAAATTGTCCTTGTTCAGCCTTGAAATTCCATACTGGGAATATTTTCTTAATATAGAAATTCCACTGTGGTGGTTATACCTGGTGAACAAGTTTTACTTTGTTTCTGGCTTCAAAGTTATTTAGATGCTAAGTATTAAGGGCTTATTAATTTGGCTCATGTTAAAGTGGCTCATACTATGCATGAAGGAGACCATTTTCTTACATAGGTAATTCTGAGTGAGACACCTTTGTAATGCATGATCATTGCAATTGTTTTTCATGTTAAAAGAAAGTCTTTTCTGTTTTCTTTTTTTAAAATTTCAGCTTTACTGAAATATATTTAACATATTAAAAATTATGGAATGCCTCATGAAGTTGGGTGTCATCCATGCACAGGGGCCATACCAGTCTTCTCTGCATAGTTCCAATTTCACTGTGTGTGCTGCCCAAGCGAGCTCTGCTTTCAGTTGTTCTTTAAAAGAAAGGCTAGGGGCGCCTGGGTGGCTCAGTCGTTAAGTGTCTGCCTTCAGCTCAGGTCATGGTCCCAGGGTCCTGGGATCGAGCCCCACACCGGGCTCCCTGTTTGGCGGGAAGCCTGCTTCTCCCTCTCCCACTCCTCCTGCTTGTGTTCCCTCTCTCGCTGTATCCCTCTCTGTCAAATAAATAAATAAAGTCTTAAAAAAAAAAAAAAGAAAGGTTAGATGTGAGCCCTTTATCCCTAGAGTTGTGTCTCAGGTGTTTGAGCAGGCTTTGTTGGGGACTGTTTGGGGGAGCATCGCGGACTGAAACCAATGAACCAGTTCAAAATGCCCTCTGTACTTACCACATTCATTTTCGCCTGGACCCTTCGGAATCTTTCGGGGGATCCTAGACTGGTGTTTACATTCTAAAGCTCATGAAATATTTATTGTTAGGTTTCCAAAACTTCCTTTCTGTCATTTGTAAGCTAAAATGCTTCTTGTTATTGAAGGTGCTTGAGGATGGAAAGTAAAGCAAACCAAAGACTCAGTGAAGTCATCTTGAAGATTCCCAGGGCTCCTAAAACCTATAAAAAGCCCTGAGATGTTCTGTAGTAAAAAAATCTGCTTCATTCTATTTAACTCAGCATTTTCCAAATGTACCCAACCAAGGAACACTTCATTTTTATATTTGCTTCAGACTTATTAACATTCTTTGGTGCTGTGTTCTGTGGAAGCAATGACCTTTAGGAAGGTCTGGGTTACTTGTATTAGACCATTTAATGCATGTAAGCAATGGCATCTGAGGCTGATATTCTCAAAGTCCCCAGGAGTAAGATTTACTAGCCATCTCTGAGCAAGAAGATTAGCAGCTCTTAATCACAACTTCAAGCTTCCTAGGATAACTGGCCATGAATGTTTGCATTGATTTAGGGTCCAGCAGGTTTGAAGGTAGCAAAAACTTCTGTGGTATCTCCAGTAGGTTCAGAAACTGGCCTTCTAGGCTTAGCACTTGGTCAGCCACAGAGACAACGGAAAACAATGGCCAACCCCCAAAAGGAAGAAAGAGACTCGTTGGCACAGTCCCCTCTGCTCTTTAATGCTATTGCACAGGATTGACATTCACCAGAGGTCTCTCCCCCTCTCCCTCTGTACTGAATGTCTTTGAGAGGATGGACTTTGGTAACCGTGACCATGTCCTTGGAGGGGAAGCGTGGGGACCAGCATCACAACGGTGACGACAAAGTCTCCTCCCCTTCCAAGAACACTCAGAGGAAGTGTTGCTTCAGAAAGGAGTTAAAGAAAAGAGTTTCAGAATACGTTATTTGATTCTTTTTCTTTTTGAAAAATCATCTGTTGAGCCATTAGGGTCACAGACCAAATCCAATTCCATGTTTCTGAGAACCCATCTTGTTCCACTGTAGGAAATTGAGTTTGCATATGGTTTGACAAATTAACTTTTCTTTAAAGAAACAGTAAAAAGTAATCTACTCATTCTGCAAAATTTTGAAATCCTTGGCATCAAGTTTTAGTGGGTTTTCTTTTCAATGAATATAATTGGAATTCTATTTAATATATAATTTTAAAAAGTCAGTTTCTGTTTATATAGCATATAAAGTAGATCTAATGTGGACAGTTTAATAGCAAATGTTTGTTTTATGAGCCAGTAAAGACTCATAATTAAAAATCTTAAAAGTTCAACATAAGCCCAAGCTTTCTCCTAGCTAGGGAACCCTGAGCTTCACTGTGGCAGGGTTCAGGGGGTTACATTTAAGAAAAAGTGTGATTACTTTAACCCAGATGCTGCCCTGCTACCTGTAACATCAGGACCCAGCTTCTGTGCCTCTGTTCCTGTGTTCCGTTTTTCATTTATTTTTGTTCCTGTGTTTCCCTCCGTGCCCCTCATCTTTGTTCCTTCTTCTCAGCTTCCAGAACGCTTTATGTGAATTTAAATTTTGCCAGTTTCAACCTTGTATTCTAGTTATCTGTTGACAAGTCTGATCTCTCAAAGGGCAATCCATATCACCTTCATCTCTTTATCCCCCAGAGTCTGCCCTAGAGTCTTCACTTAGAAAATGTCAATCAAATGTCTAGTAAATAAATGGGATTTAACTTATATACAACCCTTCAGGAAAGATGTGTTGTCTGATAAAGGGATGCATTCCTTTGCTTCCACAATTGAATGTCTCTTTTTTACTAAGAGCTCTCTGGGAAAGAGAACCAGGGTATTGGGACATAGGAGCTTCTCATTGTTGGCTCTTCCCCTTTCGCATCTCCCCTGTACTCCTTTCCTTACAGATGGACTGCCAATTACAGCTTTTGAGTTTCTCATTCTTCATTTTTGGTAAATTCTTGGGTTGATTCTTTTACAGATAAAACAACATTGGAATATGGGGACTAAGTGATGAAAAAGGAGATAGGAAAAGAGTAGGCTAGAGAAAGAAAGTGTCCATTGACTAAGCCTGGAAAGAGAGGCATTGCACAGCCAGCCCTGTTCGCTCAGTTTTGCGCAGTATCAGTGAGTGGCTGAAATAGGACAGAGTTATAATATGTGAAGAATAGACAAGGAAAATTGTCTGTGTAAATAGCTGACTAGGAAACTTCAGGGACAATAGGCTCAACAATGCATTCTTGGGTCTTGAGTGAGTCTAAGAGTGTTAGACTTGGTTTGATGCCATCATCCCCTTGAATAATCACAGCAGCAAACACACAAGGGGGCTTTGGTAGAGCTCTTGGGTGGGAGAGAGGTGTGACGGGGCCTTGGAACCCATCATCTCCAACCACTGGAGGGAACCAAGGTGGGAAGGAGTGGATGGAATGCACTTGAAGATTCTTGCCCTTTACAAAGCCTGAGTGCTCCTGCACTTCAGCCTTGATGCTGTAAAGAGTCTTGAAGTACACCAGACTGTCACTCTTTGCTATAGACCAGAGGTTCTCAAATACTCAAATCTTGTGTCTCACAAATCACTGTCAAGGGACTGGGCACTCACCAGGATAGAAACCAAACTCCCCTATGTTTTTCAGCAGAGGACATTGATGTGTTTAGACAGTTTGTCAGCATATTTATGATTTTTGGTGAGTTTCAAGGACATGATCAATTGCAGAAAGGTTATTGGACATAAATGTGATTGTCGATAGGCTGGGGAACCAAAATTGGGAGAAACATGAGATGTTTGTGCTTACTTCTAGTCGGCTGCAAGGTCATGGGTGGACAACGGAGGTGGGGGAGGGTGGGAGGAGGGTAGGTGGGAGATGACACGTGATGTTTGCAGATGCAAAGAGGGCCAATGTCAAGTCACAGAGAGGCGGTCCACTAGGGAGTGAGTGCTCAGGCACACTGCCACTGACTCTCAAGGTGGCCTTGGGAAAGTTAGCTAACCTCTCTGGACTCCATTTTCCTCACATGTAAAATGAGG